ACTAGCACTGGCACTAGCACTAGCACCAGCAGCTGCAGGTGCACTAGGCAGTAGGCAGTAGTGGTAGCAGCAGTAGTAGCAATCCGATGCTAAGAGTGCATTGAGATCGAATATTTCCGCAAAGAGTAAAACAGCTTAGCCCACACTGCTAACAGCAGCCCACACCATCAGAGCCCCCGTATCGGAGTTTAAGAATTAGGGTTTGTGATGGTTTAGGCATTAGGGCTGGAAGTTCCAGACCCTCCTAAAAAAAAACAAACCCCAGCAAGCTTCCAGGACTCCTGACCCTCCCGGCACACATGCACGCGCTCCGAGCACTACCTTGCAAAACCCCCGCCTTCCAAGCAAAGGACCCAAACCCCAAAGCCAAAACCTTTCAGCTCCCTGCCGCACGACGCCAGTCGCTCCACTCCACCTGGGCACAGCGAGTGGGGCGGGGGGCCGGGGTTCCCGATTGGGGCGGGCCGGGCCGGGCCGGGGCGGAGCCAGGCAAATCGCGCACTCGGAGCACTACCTTGCGACCTACCCAAAACCCGCCTTGCAACCGAAACCCCGAAACCTCTAAGGTCCCAGCGGCGATGCAGCGGTCCACTTGGGCCAGCCTGAAGGGAGCGGGCGGCTCTTCGGGTGGGTGGCATATGTCCCAGACTATGTACTTGCAGGACTTTGACACTCCTAACAAGCCACTAGAAGTCAGAAGCTGCAGCCCTCACTACAACAACCTTTCTCACCTCGCAATGCAAAATCAAAGCTGAAGCTGGGCACTGGGCCACTTCGGCCGACGGCCGATGCCTCGCCGCCTCTGCCCTGACGCCAGAGCCTGATGACGATGAAGCATGAAGCGGCGACACGGCGGACACCGGACACCAACTTGATAAGATGTTTCCTTGCTCGTAGCCACAACGGCCTATTTCTGAACCCTGCACTGCACATTACTGCCAGATTTTGCAGGCTTTGCTATCTGCTATCTGATAATTAAATGGACGACAAACTAGGCTGCACAGCCCAGTGGCCTCTCGTCGACAATCGCAGACACCAGTCGACTCGGACTGGACCGCTGATGTTGGTGCCTCGCTTCTCAAAATTTCAAAGTACGATGCCAGAGTAGGTAATCATAATCACCCGAACAGAATGCAATGACTGCAAGACCAAGCCGAGCCCGTTTTTGTGCTTTCGTCGCAACTTCGGTTTGGTGACTGCATGGTCTCGCACAAAAGAAGCAGGGACCGGAGAGGCCAGATCTTGTCATGAGGAGCGCTCCTCAATCGGACGTTGAGTCAGTGGATAAACTTGATGACGAGCTGCTGCTACTACTGCCACTGCTGCTGCCGCTGCTGGTCGGCGGGTCTGATCCGGCCTCATCAGCAGAGGCCCAGGCAGCCGACGCTTTGGCCTTGGCCTCCGCCTTGCTTGCCGCTGATCTTTCTTTTGCCTTCGCCTTGGCCTTTACTTTGGCTTTGCTTTTTGCCTGACGTTTAGCTGCAACCTTGGCTGCCGGTTTGGCCTTCGGTCTCGCAGAAGAAGACTCAGCAGCTCCTCTTTTGCGTTTTGCTGACGCTCTCGGGGAAGCGTGCATTTCGGCGGCGGCCATAGCATCCAGCTCGGCATCTGAAACCACGTTGACAGGCACAGGTGGCATGTCACGCTGCCTGGCATCCAACACTTCATGGGGTAAGGCATCTTTCTGCTGTAACGGTATGGCGGCGTGTGTGCTCTTGCGCTCATGCTGGGGGGCTGCCAAACACCAGCCCTTCAGCAGCCTCAAAGCCAGGTCCTTGCTTTCATCACTGGGGCCCACGTTCATGGCACGTGTGCACAAGGTTTTCTGGTTGAGCATATGAAACCGACACTTGGCCTGCCATTGTCCATGCGGCGGTCGCTTCGTGGCATCCGAAAATGTGAATCGAAAGTGTCCCCACGAAAACGAATCAGGGTGTAGCTTCGGTGCTCTGGGGAGTCACCTTCTCCATCTTCAATCTTCAGGAATCGGAGGCGGAGGCACAACCCCCGGGTCGGGTTGAACATCAGGAGCTACAGGAATCGCTGATGCATCCCCTGCATCTGTAAAGGATGCAACCGCTGCAGGAATCGTTGATGCATCCCCTGTGTCTGCCTGCGCTTCAACAGCTGTGGAAATCGCAGTCGGCGGCTCGAGCTCAAATTGTGCAGAATCACCTGGGATAGCGAAGTTTTCCGACCCCAGCTGTTGCAGCAGCTCTTCTGTCAGGCCGTTGTTTGCATGCTCATCTTCATCAGGAGGCATCGAAGGGGAATAATCGGACGGATGATCACCTGGGGACCTGGGTACCGGTGCTGGCAGTCCCAACAACGACCACAAGGGCTGCTGCGCATCTGCAGCAGCAGGACTCAAGGGCTCCACAGGCGGCGCCGGCAGTGTTGGATCCTGCCCCTCTGCATTTTCATCATCATCTTCAAGCAACCAATCAGAAACACCTGCCGCTTCTGAGTGCCCGTGGGAAGCAGGAGAAGGTGGGTCGCGCGCATCCACAACATCATCATCACTAGAAGCCTCAGAACTTGTCATGGTCGTATCCTTCACCTTCGACGCAGGTCGATGCCGCGGCAATGGAAGTGGAAGCGGAGGCTTCGGGGGGGAAGCCTGTCTTGGCTCGCTCTCTGCAAACGCATCATCCATGCACAGCAAAGCATCCTCATCTTGGGCGCCTTTCAGCTGCAATTTCTGGCTGTCTTGCCCATCTTCTACAGCCTCCGGCAGATCCCCTGTTGCCATGGACTCAGCATCTAGGAGTTCTGCATAATAGTGCATGTTTTGTCCGTGGTGAATGCAAGAGACCTGGGCTTGGACGGCTTACAAGGCCAGGAATATGGGACTCAACTTCTGGGGCTCTGGGAAAGGTTCGGGAATTTTAAGGAAGAAAGCTTCAGGCTGAATCAAGGTTTAAGGCGGCCAAACACACCAAATCAAATATGTCCAGGACACATGGCCCGCAAAGAGAGTGTCTGAAACGACCAAGGCTTGCATGTAGAGCTGCATTGCTGTGGTTTGCAAAGTCTTGTCACGGACATACCATTTTGGCCGCTCGCTCTGAAAAGTCAGAGGTGGAAGCGCACGTCTTGCTGCCTTGGCCTGTGGGAGTTTGCAAAGCTGGAAGCCCTTGTGCTCGAGGACCTTGAACATTTCCCAAGATGTGAACTGCTTCACTGCTGAACTATTCCCTGCAACAAGCTCCAGCAAGTTCTCTACCGGGGGGAAGACGAGAGAAGGGCGGCAGATCTCGTGCATGTGTACAAGATTCGCTAAAGCTCGGTCAGTCAAAACCCACCATGTTTCATCGGATGCTTCTCTGACACATCTGGCAAATCCTTGCAATTGCAATTCTTGGCACAACATGAACATCTCTGAATCGCTTCGTAGCACAAGCAAATGATGCTCTATGCTTGCACCTGGAAAAGCGCCCTTGGAAACGAACTTCTCAAGTAGCTGCAGCACTGCATCTGTGACAGGGAAGCCTGTCAGCATGTACACGAGCTTCTTGCAAGTAGACCACTTCTGTAAATTGCAGGGTAAGGTCTTCGCAGTCTGTGGATCAAGGGATATCACGGCTGCTGGAGACACAACACCTGCAGCTTTGCTGGCTTCGACCTTGACATAACAAGAACCTTCTCGCTGCAAGAACTCATGCATGGAAACAGTGACGTCTGTCGCGGCAAGACCTTGGCCACTCGCCGCAGGCAAAGGGACCAGCCTTCGCCTGCCGCCCTTCTGAGAACTCAGCCGGAAGAATGTGATTGGACCCGATGGCAAAGTTGCTTCTGCATCCACCACGGCAACGTCGAGGACCGGCTCTGAATCAGGGTGGCCATCGGAGGCAGACCTAGTTTATGCTTATGCTTGGGATAGGATTGAAAAAGATCTTTCTATTCCTTATATGACTTATATGACAAAAACCCCGGAGAAAAAATACCATGCCACGTCAAAAAAACAAGTCCAATGGGTTTGTCTTGTCCGGAAGCATCCAGGCGTCCCCGTCCGCTTCTAAGGCAAAAGCGCTTTCGGGCTGCAAGGCTGGTGCGGCACGAAGGGATTTAAGCTTCTGTTCCAAAGGTGGCAAAGCAACCGCGCCTGGTGGGGCTGAGTACAAGCGTCCTGCCTCCATCCGTGCGTGCAAGTGCACTGCGGCTGCCCTGTGCTCCACATTGTCCACACTCCACTGGCGCAACTCCGGGTTCTGCTGATTGAAAAAGTTCAGCCTGCTCTTTTTGACGCGATCCGCATCTGCGGTTTTTTTCTTCCGAAGCCTTGCTTTGTTCAGGAACTGCAGCTCTGGATCAAGGTTGTACAGCGACACGGCCAGCACGGCACGCTTCTCTTTGCTGCCAGCCTTCTCTTCGCAGGCGGCTTTGTAGCACGGATGTCCAACAAGCCCAAACCGCTTGGCTGCCTCGTCCGGCCGCTGGATCTTCGGCCATTGGGACAAGAAGTCCTTCCAATCCTCTGGCTTCACGAACAAAGCTTCTATCTCCGGCATGCGGATGGCCATGGACACGAAAGGTCCGGAAGCTCGGCGATTCTCTCCTAGGGCCCTCTTCACGATAGCATGGTCTCCCTCCTGGAGCCTCTCACAAGTGGGAATGAACCGGAGCTCCATCACGACTTGCCAGAGTTCGGGCAGAGTTTGCATCTCCGCATCTGCTGCTGCAAACTGCTTCAGCTGCGCGAGCAAGCGAGACTCTGGCTCCAGAAACTTCCAAGTGACCCTATGGTGAAGACTGGCCTGCTTGGGACTGCTTTCGAGAAAAGCCAAGATCTCTCGAGCGTGTTGTCGGCAAACGTCCGAGTTTGGATGGTTGAGGGCTGCAAGCCGCCACGGCATCTCCTTCCAGCACCGAAGCTTCTGTTCCAAGTACTCGTGGAAAACCGTGCGTGCTCTGCTGCAATCATCCAGAGATCTTGCCACGGCCTCTTGGCTACAGCCTTGGCTTAAGACAGTCGTCCCAGAACACAAGACATCCTGCACAGTTGCTTTGCTGTCCTCTTCGAACTCCTTCCAGAACAGACCTGTGAAGGGTTGCCGCGGGGCCAAGAAAACGGGTTTCAGGTGGAGGTCCCTACATTGTGTACCCTTTCAATCCTTGGAAACCAGACACCAGACCCTGGAACCCGTCACTACCCCAATCCATATCCAGACTGACTTGCAAAAGTCACAAGCCTGAAGCC